TGTGTGTGTGTGTGTGTGTGTGTGTGTGTGTGTGTGTGTTCAGTTCAGCAAAAGAGTCAAAGATAATAATACATATTGATTCACTTTCCTAATAAATCAAACCAGCAGAATCATCACAGTTGTTGATGAGCTTTGTGATTTGAAGTTGTAACAGTGTGTTGATACTCAAGTCTGTTATAGACAGCCTCACTGAAGAGAGGGAGCACTGAGGGTTGTTCACACACAGATGTAGTGATGGGTGTCTAAAGTTATTTGCTCTGAAGAAGAATTAAGATTTTCACTGTAGATTTGTTTCTTTAAACACGTTGAGTCAGTCAGCAGGACTGTATAATGCTGACACAGTGTATGAAGGGTGCAGAGATGGAGAAGCATTTCCAAGAAGACAATATGGTTTTAAAAATGTTTTCACTATTATATTTTATTGATTATATAACCTACTTAATGCAGTTTTCAGGGACAACATGCTGAAAGGGCGTGATTGCATGGACACATTTTATTTCCTGTAAACATCACAAGATGGAGACAAAGTCCACATGTTGTTCACAGCCTGCTCATTTTGAACACTGAACATTTGATTTCTGTCACTTATTTTAAGACACACCCTTGTCAATACACTTCCATCACTGCTGTGGCTCCTGATATTGTTGTTGCTTCATCAGGCACCAATTTAGTCAAATCATCTCAAAGACATTATTCAGATAGAATTATATGTATAAGATATGTTTAAGAAAATGAGAACCTAAAATTAACCTATCCTTATTTCACTAAAATCCAGAGTTCCCTGAGGCTGATCCCTGAGGTACCTGATGGTGTACTGTAAGACATACAGATGGAAGCCATGCTTTTCATACAAAAAATATGAAGGTATTTTGCATTTGATTTATTTATTGTATTTTCAAGAACAAAGTGAAACATTACATAGATGTAAGTGAAATCTTTTCTACCAGTTTGGACAACAGTTGACACAAATGCCTTTTGTTTCTTTACATCTAAGGAGATGATGGCTTGTAGGAGAGTATCTGTGAATGATTTTGAAGGAAACTCCCCTTAATTTGATTTTGTTTGTTTGTTGTTATTTTATTTTGTTTTGTTTTTTCAACCCAACCCCCTCCACCGCAATTGGGGACATTTGTTTCCCTCTTTTTTCTTTTTTTCCTTGTTTTTATTGCTGGTTATTCAATATTTTCTTTTTTTTTTCTTCTTCACTTTTTGGCTTTTACAAGTGGAGTTTAGTGTAGGCAGGTGGTGATTACATACAACAAAACTCATCCACAAACAAACAGCATCACTCCATCATCACAACAACAACAACATACAATACTACTACTACTACTACTACTAATAATAATAATGTATTTTTATTAATAGGCGCCTTTCAAAGCACTTGAGGACACCTGTGTCCCTTCATACCTCCTCAGATGCATAAATTACACACAGACCCAAAATCTTGCACTTCCAATAAAAAGAACCATGAATATTAAGGTGTTTTATGGTTACTTTCTTTTCACACATGGAATGGCACATGGAATTATACAAGGTACAACTCACATGGTGATCCCATCAGCTCCTTTAACTTGTGCACTGTAATTTAGTCTTCTTACACTTTTGGCTGCTGCGTAATAAGTGTCTGTGTTTCCTGATGGTTCTGGTAATCCATGGTTTATATAGCAGTGAAGTCTCAGGGCTGCTGTGAAACTGTGCATACTTAGGGCAACAAAAAGGTTCATCTTGGGTGTGTGGGTACAATGGACAACCAAGACAGGACGGCAGAGGAGATACCTGCACACCAATGCAACTGGGCCGGACAGCCACAACAAAGGTTCACAGGCTGAGACCAGTGCAAACAAGATTCAGTTTATTTAGGACGTTCATGCAGAAGGAGAAGGGTTAAAAACAGCAGCAAAACTTTGATCAGTGCCACTGAAAGGAGAGCTTCACAGAACAGATACAGACACAGGCAGATTACTACCAGGTGTGGTGAATCAGCCAGCTGGTACCACTAATTAAATGAGATCAACCCTGAGGAATGACCTGTCCTTTGAGTATTGTACTATTCTCAACATCCTCAAACACCAGTGTATGATAGCAGAGCCTTTACAAATGTACAAAATACACAACTATACACAGAATAACAAAAAGAAGAAAGTACAAAACATGACACAGCATATCCAAAGGGCCATGCTGGTAATTATAGATGTCTATAAAAGTTTAGGAGTTTAGTTGCCAGATCTGAATGTGTGCAGCCAGGGTTAAGTACATCAGTGCCACAGACACTGGGTCTCATTCATGAAACGTGAGCGGAAGGAATTTGTGTATTTGTTTCTCACAAATATTGTTCACAAATCTGTCTAAATCTGTGTTAGTGAGCACTTCTCCTTTGCTGAGATAATCCATCCCACCTCACAGGTGTGGCATATCAAGATGCTGATTAGACAGCATGATTATTGCACAGGTGTGCCTTAGGCTGGCCACAATAAAAGGCCACTCTGAAATGT